GTAATGATTAAGATCATATTATATAAAATAAAATGATGCTAAATACTAACATATTCTTTGACATTGCGTGCAATTCTTATTGAAAGACAAATTTCAGCATCTAGTGATTTCTCTTTGATATTTGGTGATGAGGTGATTGAAAATGTAGTACCTGATGTGGTGGCACACACCTTTACTCCCAGCACTTGTGAGGCAAAGCAAGCAGATCTCTGTGAGATCGAGGGCAACCTGGTCTACAATAGTGAGTTCCGGGTCATCAAAGGCTACAGGGAGACCATGTCTCAAAAAAGACAGAAAGAAAGAAAAACAAAGAGAGAAAGAAAGAAAGATAAGAAGGAAGGAACGAATGAACAAAGAGAAAACATAGTTTGAAAGTGAATTGTAGCAGGGGGCCTCCAAAGATGGCGCCGACACAGAGCCCTGGGATTCATCGCGAATTCATTCCACCAAAAGGAGCCCACACCTCCGCCTCCATACCCTGCTGGCCAGCCCAGTGACTGCTGACAGACTGCATGGCGTGGACCAATCAGAAAAGGATACGCTGACTAAAGGGACTTGGGGGCACAGAAAAGGGAGATATAAGGTGTGCCTTCTCCTACATTAAATGAGTCTGCAGCACCTCGCCTGGTACTTGCTTCTACCTGACTCCCAGGGTGTGTGTGTCATGACCCGGCACCTCTTACTACCCCCAATCAGCAGGGGACCCCATCCAGGTTAGGGTCTTCACAGCTGGCCTGAGGAGAACCCTCAACAGTGAATAATATGTAATTTGTTATGATTTGACTAAAAAAATCCACACATATTCATGTTTTGAATGCTTGCTTCCCAGTACCTGGCATTATTTTGGGAAACAGAATTTAGTGGCAGTTTAAGGTAGCAAAGTAGGTCACCAGGTTTATGTAATGATAGTTGTAGCCCAGCCCTAGATCTCTCTATGCTCTTGTATATTCGGTTCACTAGACTGTGAAGTCTCTGCCGTCAGAACCACAGCCAGGCCTTCTCCTATGGGATAAAAGTCCTCTGGAGCCAGGAGCCAAAATCAATCTTTCTTCACTTTTTTTTTTTTTTT